GGGGGGGGGGGGGGGGGAGAAAAAAGGCATCACAAAATATGAGGAGATGGACTTCCAAAGCTGTCACTGTTTCATTTACTGGAGTTAATGCTAAAATAGGCAATTGAGTTTTGCCAACTGTATTAGAAAATATTGCCCTTTACTCTTTCTTTTTCAAAAGTAGATGACTTAGTGAAACACATGGCCCTAGTTGTGTCTGGGGAAAAATAAAAGCAAGCCTCAGATGAAAATAAGACTTGAGGGCTATTTAGATTTTAGTGGTTGTGTTTTGAGAGGATAGTGCAGTACTGGAGTGCTTTTGTGAAAGGATGGTCAGAAAGGCATCAAATCATGTTTAATGGAAGAACTTGTATTTGTCATAGATTTATTTTTGCTGCCTATGTTATTTATTTTTCCCTGCCTTCATAGCTCAAAAATTTGCATTCATGATAATGTGTTTGTTTTTTACCATGCTCATCCCTAAGCATAACATAGCTGAAGACTTTGAAAACCACAGCACTGCTAACAGATGCTCTTACTGGCAGCTTCTTCTTATTTGCTTTTGTGCTGGCTCTGGAATAAATGGAGTTGGTCCCATATATTTAATTTTGTCTCTCATCAAAATGTGTGACTGCATTTTATGATTTTTAAATTACAACTACTTTATTTTAGGATCTAACAGTAGCCAAGCAATCTGGTTAGTTCATATCCTTTTTTAACAAAGGGATTTTTTAAAAAAAGTTGTATTAAGGTTGCTGGCAGACAATGCTAGGAGTGTTTTTGGAAACCTCTCTATTTCCATTTTTCCTGTTGTCGGAGCTGCTAAGACAAAGCTAGAATGTTTGGCAGTGCCAGTGAAGGTAGGAGTTTCAAGATGTGTTTTGAGTTGACTAACCAGATAAGTTCCTTGGGTTGCCACTGTGTCTTTCTGTTGAAGAAATTAACTTTAAAAATACAGAACATGATGAACTCTTTTCTAAACATTTTTAGGAAACAAATGTCTTGGGGTTTAAAGGACCTCGTAAAATGAGTGTGATCATACCAGGAATGAATATGGACCATGAAAGAGTTTCCATCAGACCACGAAATGTAAGTCATACCATCAGCCAACAGTAAAAATGACTTGAATTCTTTCTCAGTTAGTTGGGGTTTTTTCATTTCTGAAGGTTTAAAAAACCCAGTATTTGAACAATTGCAAAACAATGGGATGTGTGACTAGTTCTGTGACTCACAAAAGCACTACAAATAATATGTATTTTGATAATAAAAGATACAACTAACCTTTTCCAAGCTATGGGAAGGACTTGAATGCACATTTGCATGGAGATACTCAGAGTTCTCTGTTTTATCTGATGATGCAGTTTTGACAGTGACTGTTTAGCCTTTGGGCTAGGATTTATGAATATTTTTCTCTGTGTGTGAATTTATTTTTTTGTCTTTTGAGTGTTAAACTGAAGTGTGTATCTGTGGTTTGTGCAGGAACATGAGACACTTCTTGCAAGATGGCAGAACAAAAATACAGAGAGTGTCATTGAGCTGCATAACAAAACGCCTGTCTGGAACGATGACACCCAGTCCTATGTGTTAAATTTCCATGGTCGAGTCACACAGGCCTCAGTGAAAAACTTCCAAATTATTCATGATAATGATCGTAAGTATAGCTCTCTGTCTGTAATGTGTAGTGATTCTGGCCTTACTGTTGTTACCTGAGTGAGTTTAGTGATGTGAGTCCAGCTTCATGCTGCTCTGCCTTGTGGCCGTGACATTGATGCAAGTTGGGTGTGTAAATACTCATGCTAGAGACAGGTGATTCTGCTGTGTGCTTAGTTTTCTCCCTTGTCTGCCTGGCTTGTGAACTGAGCAACAGTTCAGAGTTGTCTCTGCTCTCAGAGCTGCTGTACTTCCAGTAGCAGGACCGTGGTCACTCCACTCAAGCACTTGTATCACACAGTCCTTCCTTGGCTTTCTGTTCACTCTGGTCCCCATACACGACCCAGCTGAAGACAGTGCCAGACAGACCCATCCCACTGCACATCTACTTTGCCATGACTAGTCCTGGTAGCCTTAGTCCTCCAGATCACCCTGAACCTACCAGGACTGCCTTTCACACCATCACTGGGACCTCACCAGTGTGCTGCTTTCTGCCAGAAATGTACCAACCCCTTTTTACTCAAGCTTAGGTACAGTTGTTGGAGCAGGGATAAAGACAAGTGCTGGAGTGGAGTGACACTGCCCCACTTCACGCTGGCTTTAGGCAGGCACAGTCACTAGGTGCTGGGGTGCACTGGGCTACACCAATGCCGTGCTTAGACTGCAGGGGAATATAGGAAACTGGTGAAAATGGCTATGCGAGTCTCTGAGAACAACACTGAATTTGAAACATTGGCATATGCATTTACTGCATTTTATAAGGTGAAACAATTGCATCTGCTTTCATAATTAAACATTTCAAACTATGAATGAGGCTGAGACTTCCTCTTGCTGACAAAGAGTACAAAAGGGAAAAAAGGTTGAGGAAGAATTTCTGAATATGACGTAACAGAGAGACATGACTAGGTCTAGATCATAATCATGCCTTCTTTTCCCTCATCCTTTCTTGTCCATTTGCCAGAAGTTAAGTGGGAACAGAATTAATTGGTTCTTGGTACACGTGAAACTCAGCACTAGGTCTATGTAAGAAGTTTGAACATTCTATACAGAAGCAATTTTCTCTCAGTACTTGCAAAACCCACTTTCTGTGTAATTTTTTGACAGTAACAAGTCCTGCAATCCTTTATCACTCAGCTGTTCCTCACTCAAGCCCTCCTTGCTTCTCCCCCTGCTATCAGCACACCCACTTGCAAGAATAAGTGTTGTGAAGTTTGATGAGTGAGCATGTTTTGTTTGTGTTTTGTTGACCTGGGCCAGAGGATGACGTTGAATGCATGTTTATTTACTAAGGGCTGCAAACAAAAATAATGCTTTGTCACCTTTTATGACCTTTCTTCCAGCTGACTATATCGTGATGCAGTTTGGCCGCGTGGCTGAGGATGTGTTCACCATGGACTACAACTACCCAATGTGCGCACTGCAAGCCTTTGCTATTGCCCTTTCAAGTTTTGACAGCAAGCTGGCTTGTGAGTAAAGGGGCATGGGTGAGCATCCTCTCAAAGGAAGCAGTTTGCCATATGATTCCCAATTCCTGCTGGTGTCACTTATGGTCCATACTAAAGAGGTCAGGGAAAATGCAGTTGTGGAGGACCATTCTATGGCTGAAGAGAAAGTAAAAGGAATCTTCTAAAAATTCAGGACATTCAGGAGATAATTTTTTTTTTCTGTCATATTTTTCTGGAAGTGGCATCAAGTTTGTGTAAATAGAAGTTCTATCTCATGTCCTTGGTTATGTTATGGAGCGATGTGCCATGATGTACTGTACCGTGGCTCTAGTAGCACCATTATAACGGTGTCTTTTTTAAATCTAGAAAGGGCGTGCACGCTCAAAAATTTCTTTTTACATTTAAGAATTATTCTGAGGCTGCAATCATACCTCAAGGTTGCATTCGTACATCGACTAATCAGAGCTTCACGTCATCCAGCATAAAAGAAAGATCACACTAAAGATGCACTTTTTTGAATGCGCAAGGATCTCGTGTAGTATAAAGCCAAGTCTGAAGGTTGAAAACCTATACTGGACTGAACTTGATGCATTGCTATTGTATATGTAGTAGGGCATGATGAATTTTAATTGCAGTAGAAGGAAATGGAGAAGTAGAAAGCACAAAACAATGTTGCACAAGTCACTTGAATTCTAAGCTGTCATGTTTTAACATCTACATGCTTTTTAATTTGTTTCAAATGAAAATGTATTTGGAGTACAGAAAAGCAAAAGGAAAATGTCTAGATGCCAAGAAAGCATAACTTATGTTGAATTTGGCATGTTGCGTGTTGGGAATTTATATCCTTGTATTGCTGTGGTAATTCAAACACATATTTTGTATGAAGTGATATAAACAGTTGGATAAAGGCTCTCTGCAGAGAATCTTATTATTTTGAACAGGCTGTGTAAAGCTGAGGAAGGTAAATGGAAATATTTTATTAAATTTGTCTGGCCTTTTGCGATTTTACTATTTGTTGATTGTATTTTTTTTGAACTTTCAACGACAACCACTTTTCATATTTATTTCCCATTGTAAGAACTCTTGAAATCGATTGAAACTGTGTATGTTATTCTCTAATGTAAACGTGCCAGCTACTGAGCTAAATCCTTCTAGGCAAATCTAGTGTGTGCTGCATACAGATGAGCGACTGGCAGGTCACAGAATAGCTCAGAATAGTGTGGATTTTTTTGTTTCTTTTTTTCTGATTTATCTGGAACATATAAACAATTAATATATCAAAACACAAGCAAAGAACAAGCTATTCTCTTCTCTTCTGAACATTCAAAGCCCGAGAGCTGCACCTGAAAGCACACTGTAAAACACCTTTAAAAATAATTAATCTTTCTGCCATTGTTCTGGACAATGTTATCCTAAACAGCACACAAAGTGATAGAATTTATACGTAGTTCACCAGAAGGGTATTGAAATGTGAGTGAAGTGAAGAAGTAGTTGCATTTTGTACTGTATGTATTCAGATCCTCCTTTTTTTACTCTTCATAGACTCTAGCATTGCACAACCAAAGATTATGTAATGAGAAAATGAGATCAAATCTGCTTGTCTCATAGCTGTCGGTCCCTTTCTGACTATAGGGGACAGACCATGAGGAGACATTGTGCCATTTGGACTGTATAATTTCAGCTAACAAAAGAAATAGGCTCCCTTCTTCACGTTTGCCTTCGGGTATCCTTCCCAGTATGCAGACAAGGAAATTTCAGATAAGAGATGGAAATAGGTAATTGCCAGCATTTTTTCTAATCTTTTTTAAAATCTAGGGGGAAAAGTCTGCTGGCTTTGAACAGTGTTTTGTTGATGAACTGAGCCTTTGTGTCCTCTTTAAACTACAGGAGGCTCTGTCTTTTTTTCTCAAATCTTTTTTCAAGAAGCCTTTCCACACAATGGTATCAAGTGGAAAGACACCTTCCATTTAAGAGAAACGAGCAGTCAGTTCCTGCAGTGAATGATCAAAACGATGAGTCATGAGCTTCAGTGTGATACTTAGGCATTGCACATGGATGCTTTGTTTTTCCCAGTGGTTGGTGGTTTCCCACCAATTCACATCCCCATCTGTGATCTCACTTTGGCTTTTTAACAGAGAAGGCCCTTGGGCCTTGGTTACCTCATGTCAGTCTTTAAAAACTAGCTCAAATAATAACCAGAATTTTTTGTTTACTGCAAAACCAGACAGGAGTTCCCAGTGCTGGTATTTAGACATGGATGTCAAGAACTCCACAGCACGGGAACAGTTCAGTCTGCGTGGCTTTAATTCTGTGAGCCGCCAGGCAAACATTTTCTTTAAAGCCTGAGAAAGTGGCACTTGACATAGTTTTCTGCGCCTCTCTGTGCACAACACTGTGTCAAAGGACCCAAGTGTCTTATGGTGCAAATATACCATCTGTTGGTGGTAGCAGTGGAGTTAGTTTAGGAAGGGTTATTTTTAACACCGATCATAACAATGGTCTGATTTGCATTATGGCCCCACAGGGAGTTGTCACCAAAAGGAAGCTCATGTGCAGTGAACTCCTGCACAAGGGTGAGAATGAGGGGCTGGAGAAACGCAGAGAGTTCAACTGCTTGGGAGAGTTTTGCTGCCAGCACATTGTGTAACTTCACTCTCACTGCGTGTTCTTCCCAGACAGGTATTTTTTTAACCTGTAAGCATGCCAGGAGGAAAGTGGCGACTCAAATTCCCATCGTCTTAACAAAATCGTACAGGGACGTCAGCCAACAAGCTGCTGAGGAAAAAATTCCCCACCATAAATTGAGGTCACTAGAGGGGGATGTTAACCTGGCACTAAGAGCAATAAGCTCTCATTAAATCTGGTTCAGTTACAGTAGGATTTGCACCTAGTGGCCTTTACTAAAACCCCAATTCCTCACTGTTGTTGAGCCAGGTACTGGGTTCTTCTGATTCACTTAACCATTGCCATCTGCTCCAGAGGCATCTATATAATTTCTGTTGGACAGATTCTGGTGAAGTTCACTACTGCATGTCAATGCAAGGTGCTATCACAAGTTTTCCAACACATCTCCAAATTTTGTTTTCCTAACTTGGTAAAGTCACAGCAGGTTCTGTCAGACGTGATACTCCATTGTCCTCACAAAGTTAGCTTTTCCACCCCACCAGCAATAAAATCATGGCACTAGTATGTATTTTCAGAGATAACGTGCATACTAAAGTAACTGAGGAGTAGTTAGTGCCACACTCCTATCAGTAGTAGCTTCTGCAGGGCCTGCATGACAGTGTGCAGCGGGGCATAACCTTGTTTACTTAATGTGACAAAGAACAGAATGGCACTCAGCTGTGCATTTCCTTCACATAGTCCTAGTGAGTGTTTGGATACTGTAGATTTAATATTATTTAAAATCCCGATATTGATGATTTTTTGCATCTGCTGTTGTTTTTGGCAGAGAGTTGTAAACAAATGCCTTGCCTGAATTGCTTATAGGCAAATACTGCATGCTTTAATGAGAGTTCTTAATCTTAAGTTGTCACTCTGTTTACATCAAACAGTTTCTTCCTGGCCCTTTATCTAATTTTGTTAATCTCTGATGTTCTGTTCCTTCTCATTCTCCTCACAATCCCTTTATCTTCAAGGATGTGCAACTCAAAAGTGTTTATTTTGACAAGGTTACTCAGTGATCTCTCTGCAGATGAATAATGCCTTCGGTGCACATCCAGTGATGCTCCTGCAGTAGAAGCCTTATCAAAGAGGTGAATTTGGCCCTTTGGCTTTTCAATAGAGTAAATTAACACATTAAAAGGTAGCAGATAAAAAAGCTTGCCTAAAATATAATCAGAATTTTTCTGAGTAAACATTCAGTAACTGCAGTTCCCAAACCATTGGTTGCAAATCAATGAGCAGAACTGTCCACAAGCCTGAAGGCAAACTGTTAGACAGATTCCCTTTGTAGTGCTGCCTTATTTTTGCTTTTTCAAAAGGTTGAAAGTGATTTTGTGAGCTGAAGTGTGTTGGGGCCCTGAAATTATTTTTTAGAAGCTAGACATCACTCCACTCCTTTTGTAGGACAATATATGGCACATAAAATAGTAATGTCACAGGCCACTGTTACAAATTCTGATGCTAAGAAGTCTGTGAGAATGGTTTTATCATAATTACTAGGCCAATCTCTCACTATTCAAGTTCCCTTACAATAGTGCTGGATTTCCCAGCTAGCTGTCCTCATGAGGTACTAGAACAGTGGCAGCTTTAGTGAAAAGGGCTCTGTAATAAAATCTGGTAGCTGCATGAGTGAAAAACATTATTGTGGAGTCAAATGACACCACTGAGTTTTATTGGTCATGGTGAACCGATGCCATGATTTTGAACTTTCTGGTTTTTTGCTCCTTTTGATGAACAAAAGGAGGGACTTTCAACAAGCAGAGATACCAGCGAGGTCTCCAAAATTATTGAGCACTAGACCTTTTTTACCTATAAAAATCTTACCCTTCCTGAGCGCTGCCCATTAAAAAAGAAGGATATCAACCCAGTCCTTAGCACAGAAAATCACTCCCAGTTCTTGTAACTAGGCTTTTTACAAATTTTATTATTAATTTATTAGTGATTTCACATAAGGATACCACAAGGACTTGGCAAACAAGAGTTCTTCCCCTGAAGAGATGATGACTCTAGACCAACATGAGAATATTTTGTATTTTATTATTTTGGTAGGATAGGACAGGGAGTTGCTTGGTGTTTTGGGCAGAGAGGGTTTCTCCTTATGTTTGGCAGGTGTCAGAGGGAAGATTTGGGGTTTGATCCTGTGGCATTCTAACTAGTTCCCTCATACTATCCTATTGCTCTCCTAAAACATAATTTGCAAGATTTTTTTCCTGGTTTTAGAGAAGCATTAGCTCACCAATAAAATCTCTTTGCTTGGCAAATAAGGATGGTACGTGTGATAAAGCAGCAGTCACCTTTATTAGAATTATGGGCTGATGACTCTCATTTCTCAAAAGGCCTCATTTTGCTTACCAGAAGTAGCTTTATACATATAAATCTTGCACTAGAACTAATCTAAGTGTAGAATCCAAGCTTTTCTTGTATGTGCTGTCTAATGACAATGGGTTTCTCTTGTTCTTCATGTATGAAATGTACCTTCCTGGGTTCTGCTCTTTAAGTGTTTGAAATTAATGATGTAGATATTTTTTAAGTTCTTTCTGTTGCTCACAAAGGAACTAAGAAAAGGATTTGTGCAACTATCTCGATGTTTTGGTATTTTGCTATGAACTATAGCTCAGTAGCTGATACTCACAAATGCCTGTATATTGGATGAAAATGCATTAAAACTTATTTTATATGTTATATTTTACTTAACTGCCCCAAAACTTTAGAATCCTCTTTTTCAGTAAGGGTATGTTTATCCATACCTTCACTGAGAAGACTTGGATTAACTGGCTTTCTTTAAACTGTTCAATGGAACCAGTACACTGGTTTGCTAAATTGCTTTAGGATGAGGACATAGTTCAGAAAAATTATGCTTCCATTTTTGAGAAAAAAACCCTCTCTATTCACTTTATGATTGGATTACTCAGCAACACTGAAAGCTCATCATGGTTTTATTTAAGTCTTCAATGGCAGTTTGAAAATTACTCTGACAAAAGCTTGATAACACATGAACTGGAATGAAATCCTACTTGAGAGTCAGAACCCAGCAAATAACCAGTGAATACTCATCCATCTATTCTGTGCTTAGGTACTGCTTCATGTAAAAAAAGTCCTGAAGAGTCACAAATCTATGTTAAAATCAGCCTGGTCTTTTAGGCTGTCCAACAGGCTTGGGGATCAGCTCACCTGGGTTTTAATCCCAACTGACTGTGTGACTTTGTGCAAATCTTGTAACCTCTTTGTGCCTCAGTCCAAAGAGCTGAATGGAAATAATAGTTTTCAGACCTACCTGTGTCTGTCCCAGTTCTAAGAGGCTTCTCAGGAGGGTTTCGAGGCTGGTGGATGGCAGGTGGTGTTGGCGCAGAGTACCCTATTTAATTCTTACCGAAGGAACAGCAGTAAAATATGACCAGTTTTCTACCACCTATGTAGAAACTGAATAGCTAATCAATCTCTTAGGATAAAATTTTGACACTGTTAAATTCTATGGTAATCTTGTCAATTATTTCAGTGAGGCTTCAGGTTTTTTACCTTGTGTCATTTTTGGTCACTAAATGTGCAGAAAAAACATTGGGAAACCATCTGATACACTTATTCTTCTCACAGGGATGTGTTGCTCACTGTGTTTTAGTTTGCACCATCAGTTTTAAAACTACTGTTCCTGAACATTTTGCAGAGGTTCAGTTAATGCAACTGCCTATTTATGCTTTTATGTAGCAAACTGAGACACTTCGCGATTGTGCTGCAAATTGTCTTTTTGTACTTCTGGGTGGGTTTTTTTTTCCTTGGATGTGACTCAGCTGTTCGAAACTTGTTACTGCAGAGTTTGACTCTGTCACGCACATCTGATTTAAAATCAATGAGTCTCATGATTTATGACTACCTTTATACTCGTATGGGATGTTTACAGTGCAATCTGTTTCTGACATTTGACCCTTTATCTGTGGCTTCTTACTGAGGTTACCCCAGTTGGCACAGTGCCATTAGAAGTATCAGTAATTTATAATGTGAACTCTCTCAAAGTAACAGAATGTAATTTATAAATGTTTTTATAGATTTTAAAATTAAAATGTAGCTGATATGAATGCTTACAGATTGGGTGAAGTAAACAAGAAAGTTGTTTGTTCAAAATTTTCTTTCCTTAAGCTTGTGTTGAAGTTTGAGCTCTCACTGAAGCAGTAAGATCCTGCTCCTGCAGCTCCATCTGTGCAAGCGGGATACAGTTTGGCCTGTGCAGACTGCCAGGCTCTGTCAGTGTGATCAGGACACAGTGAGCAATGGGATTTCCAAAGTCCTAACAGGAGTGCACTTGCTAATTCTCTTAGGCACTCTTGAACATCACATAAGAAATCATGTACCTTTCCTATGTTGACTTACCAAATAACAGCAGAAATATTTTCACTCCCTTTGGATTTTTTTTAAATTTCTTTTTAAAGGCTATGCTTACTGTCTAGGCAAGTGTAATATTATAAGACATTTAGTTTGAAGTCCTGGAAGATTATGTCATGAGATCGCTTATTTTGACAGTGCAGAAAACCTCACAAGTACACAAAACCAGAGTATGTTTTGTGACAGTGGGCTTTGGGCGCTGCTCGTGCTATGAAGTTCAGCGTTCAAACAAGTTTGTGAGCTCTGGCACCTCGTGACAGGTTTTCATTCCAGTCTGGGGACATCAGAAGATAACCCAATTATTACCAACCTCTTCTCTTCCCTAGGGAGAATCTCCTGTCCTCACTGGCTAGAAGTAGAACTATATTGATCTTGATGTGTCTTTAAACATTATGGGTTTTTTTTAGCTATTTTAAAAACATTTTCAAAGATGCAGTTTGAGCTTAAAGAAAAGTCGTTGAAGTAGCTGTAGATGTACCGAGTTGATTTGGTTGAGAGGCAGCTGTCTTTTCCAGCAATTTTCTCAGTTGACATATGAGCAGCACTTCATAGTCCTACTGGAAAAACATAATGCAGCTATTTTAATATGCCTTCCTTGGGTTTTGCCTTATGATGCTGCTTTTTTGTGCCCAATTATGTTTATTTCTGAAAGTTACTACTTCCAGTGCTAAACAGAAATAGAGCAGTATTTTCTACTGAAGTCTCTGCCTTATTTTCTGCTGCCTCACATGTGGAGATTTGATACTAAAAATAGAATTTTTTCATTTAAGAAAAAAAACAGGTTTTCTAGGCAAAGTCATTAACTTTTAGTGCTATGTGCCTGGATTGACAGAGGGTTGTGGTTTTTTTTCCAACCAGGAATCTTACTACTGGCAGAGTAGCATGTGCCATGAAACATCCAGTGATGCCCTGTTGCATACTACATCAGTGTGAGGGCCTGGCCCAAAGATACAGCCCTCTCTCACCAAAATGGCACCACTTTCCTTCTTGGAGGGCTTTCTGTTGATACTTTTATGTTTATTACAGCATCTTCCATCTTGGGGCCAGTCTGTGATTAGGTTAATAAATATCAGCCTTAACAAACATCCATGAACTAAAACCCCTTCACATCAGCAGTTAAAGCCTTACAGCAGTCCAGAAGCAGCAGGTAAGTAGTATTATCCTTTTAATGGCAGTGAAGCTGTGACTTGCAGTTTATACAGAACAAACAGACAAACGAACACGGAGTTATTTTTAGAGCTGGCACTAGAACTAAGTTCTTAGTCCCTAAACCTGTGCTCGCTATTGCTGTGGGTGACCAGCTGGTATACAAAGGGTCTCTGTTTTGAACTTTGTTGTGAAGACTAAACTATTTCACTTCAGTTTGGAATACTGAAAAACCAAACCACATTACTAGAGAGCTCTCATCAGGCAATTGAAATTACACTGAAATCAAATTTCATGCATACTCATTTATGAGGATGGCCCAGAACAAACACAAGGGTGCTGTGCAGGTGTCAGGAACTGAAAAGTTGCACAGCAAATAATGCAAGTAAAAAAACAGCGGGGCTATATTTCATTCCTAACTCTATCTCGATATTCAATGTTTTATAGTGTAGGCTGAAAATACAAAAATGCTGTGTACTGTTCATTTTAACTTCTGGTTTAAAGTAGGGCTACAGCAGCGATGCTTACTCTTACAAGTTTTGTAACAATGTTGTCTTAAAAAGCTGACTGTGGAGTATCTTTAACTATAATGGATTCTCAAGAGTTACTGAATTCAATGACACTATGACAAGCGTTTTTTAAAACAAAACCAAAAGCAAAAACCAACTGCTTTCAAAAGCACTGGTTAGTCTGTTGTTTGGACTACATAGCACAAGTCCATGAGGTTGAATTCCTAGTTGGTGTCACTCAAATAGTCTCTTCTTGCAGATGGTTGATGCTTTTCAGCTTGTAATCTGTGTTATTACAATTTCCTTGTTTTGGTTTAAGATCCCTGATTTTTTTTTTTTTCCAGCTATAACTTTCTCTTGTTTCAAACATGTACAGGTTTTTCCACATGGAGACATTCCAGAAAGCTAAGTCAGTGAAACTGATAATGTCTGTGAATTAAAGTGTGTTAAATCCCTGTGTATATGTTCTCATTTCGAAGTAAGGTGGCCTTCAATTCCAGTTGTATAATCCTCAGCGGGGGTATTCATCACATTGTGCAGTTCAAGGTTGTTGGTGAATTTTAAAGTGCTGAATAGGTTTCTGACCAAGATACTGGAGAACATATGTAAAGGGATTCACCCTTCTGTATTCCCAGGGTGGCAATTATGACTTACAGTACAGCATTTCTAACAGTGGGCTCTTTGAATTGTACTTGCAAAGCTCAGCACCTGCACAGCACCTGCACATTAGACACCACATTTCTGAAGTTCTCTTTTTCTACTGCAGTGGTTTTCAGCATGCCCTGATTTATTGCCACCTCTATGAAGAATTTAAGCTTCCTGACAACAGTGTGCTTTCGTCTTTGGATTTTGTGGATGACAGGGATCTGGGGACTGTATGCTGAAAGTTAACTGCTTTACTAGTATAGCAGAGCTTCATGCTAGGAGCACGGTGTAAATGACGCCAGTATAACTAGGTTTATTTTTTACAACGCCCATCAGAGATATGCTTGTTTCTCAGAAAATAATATTCCTTTCTCTTTTTCTTCTCCATTTATATCTGCCTGGATCTGAGGATGAGAGACCCTTTTAGCATTCATGCAATCAGCTACCATATAAGAAAAACACACACAAAGGTCTATTATGGATGGCTTTATCACTAAGCAATGCAACTATTACATGCTTACTGTCATCCTGCTATGTAACAGTGCATGTTTTTTCCCATGTGCTATTTCCCACCATGTGCTTGTCACCAGTCAGAGGACACTGCTGAAAAGACATGCATGGAAGTTTAGCAAAGTAGCTGCAGAACCGAAGCCATTAAGATGTAGTTCTAATACTGAAGAAAGAGCTCCTCCTGAAGGCAAAAATTGGGACCAGTGGCTCGTAAAGTTATTTGGACTTTTCATGTGTTTGCATTGCATATAAGATGATAACACTTTTTTTTTTTTTTTTTTTTTTTTTTATTATACTTGGACTATATTAAGCCCTAAGCCCAGAAAAAGGAAGATAAAAGGAGTGCAGTTACAGAGAAGGAAATAAAAGTGCAAACAAGCTCCATTTGTTGGAGGAACTTGAAGTGTGAAGGAAACCTGAGTGTGCAGGCAAGGCAGTAGGATGTACTGGGGAATGACAGTAGGGTGATTTCTTAATGGCGAATTGGCAGACTGCTTGTCATGGCTTAGAGCGAGTAATGGAACTTAGTAGTCATTGATGGACTACGATGGTCACTGCTTATGTTGCCTGATATTGGTAAGAACTCTGCCCATAGCATTTGTTTCTCTCCTAAGCAGCTTGGTTTATGTGCAGATTTCTTCATGATGACATTTTGACCCATTTATTTCTATTTTGGGCCTAATCCAAAGCCTGCTGGTGTAACTGAACGTTTCTTTCTGACTTCTGCTGTGTCTCCGTAATGCCGCACTCGCGTGTCTCTACAAGAGACCTAATGTCTTCTTGTCTGCGTTTAAAAGGGGGTTACCTGGAGCTCAAAAATCGGGCAGTACTGGCTTGAATACTTCAAAAGATTGTATTTGGAAGGGAGAACAAATTTTGCTCTTATGACATCCCATGAAGCCTTGTTGATACTCAAAGGGGAATCAAAACCATCCTATTACATGTGCCATCGAATTCTGTGATGTCCTTACTGCTACAAAATGACATTTAGAAAAACAAAATGTTGCTAATAGTTGCGTGTGTTTTAAGGGACAATAGTGGATAACTGACCCTGCACAAGAATTAGCAAATCACACAGGGAGTTTCCCCAAGAAACAGGTCTTTAAGAAACAAACCTCTTACAGGGGGTTACTGTGAAACATGTATGAAAAAAAAAAAAATATTGAAGCTTTGGTAATTTTTTTAGTATCTTCAAAGTGTAAAACTCTTGTAATTGAAATGAACAATTTTATTTCAAATAAAAAGTCCTGAACTTGGTGACATGAAAGTAAGATCATCTGGCAGTTACATACAACGTGTAAAGGGGGTGCACATACATGCCCAGTACACCAGGATTCTCAGTACTGGAGTGGGTTTAATTTAATGACTTTCCCAACATCTTTCAATTTTAGATGTCCAAACATCCGTGCTGGGCACACATGCATATACATATCTATATAGTCTTAAAAAATTACCTTTGGTGATACCTAGGAATTAGTCGTCTTTCTTCACGCTGACAGCTTAAACCAAGATATTCATTTGTCTTGGCATTAATTATTGCAATGTATCTCTAAAAGATAGAGTCTCCTATTTGAAACCCCTTTTAAAATAAATTTAAACAACTGAAATATTCCTGTGGGAAAGATTTTTTTAAAAAAATATCTCTTAAATGTGTCTGTATCCGTTAGAGATAACCATCTCCTTTCCCTTTTTCCTTTGAGCTGACTCTTCAGTGGGATTGATCCATGCAGTGAGTCAATCCTTACCCATCATTACAAGACTGGGGTTGCTTTGCCTTTTCGAACAATTTCTTATACTCAAGAGTAGTGGAACAAGGGAAAAAATATCCCTGGATGGTGGATGATGTTTTGTAATTCAATAAACCTTCAGAATTATCTCAGAAAGTAAATACTTTTAAGGTGGTTAATTTCTAAGAGTTCCTAGCAGACACTGAAGTGGTTTTGTATTTCCCAACACTGTCTTCATCTAGCTAATGGCAGTCTGAAAGATCCAGTGTTTGGGAGCAGCTGTAGAAATACCCATTTTAGAATGTGTCGGGACTAGATCTGCCTGTAAAGAAAAATACACCTTTGTTTCTGACTTGTTTACTTGAACTTCAACAAGTAGAAAATGTAGGTGCTATGTGAATGTTTCTGTCCCCATAAAATGAAAGCGCAGTTTAGTTAGGGTTTTTTTACTATTCCCACAGTAAACATCTAATTCATCTCTTTGCCTTTGTTAAATAAACCAGTGATATACATACAGTTGAATTTGAGTATGTTAAGATCTAGACTTCCTTTACATTATAGGGGGTTTAAAAGTGGAAAATATAAAAACTGACAAAAAAATGTCTTTGTTGTGAGAACTAGTATTTAACCAGTCATGTTTTTTCATAATGCCAGTAACATATTATGCTTATTTGCATACAAAACTGTCTTGACCTGATTCAAGTAGTCGGGCATCACATTTTTGTTCAGAGAGTTTTAGATAAACCTGCAAGAATGTGCTTTTACAAAGTAAATTTTTTAAAGAAACTCTTTGGTATTCTGTAGTAAATGTATTTATTTACCAGTACGTGCAACAACTAATTTTTGTATTTTCACATAATTTACTTGGTGTATGTCATAGAGGTTCTACTGTTTGTCAATACAGAACACTGTGCAGAAATATTAATTTGTTTGAAACAACTATTTTTTTCCCTACCCAAGGTCAGAAACATCTTGATAAATTACCTACACAGAGTATGGACGTTATTTAACATAAGCAGTTTCCAGTGCTGTTTAAACTGTATTTTTTACCTTTAATGCTCATACAAATGCAAAACAAAGAACATAGCCATAGAAAGTAATACTGTCAGTCTTGACTTTATCAGTCATTTTCAGACTGTAAGTTTTCTCAAAGTGTGAGTGCAAAGATTTTAACTTGGGACACACTATAAATACTCCTGTTACCCCTCTTCCTGAAGAGGAGGGTGAGATTCCTAATGAACACTAGCCAAGCAGAGGCCCAATTGTTTGCTGCCTTAGGTCCCTACCACCTGACAATCCTGTCCCATTCCTGCTACCTCAGTGCTGTTTGCTGTGAGGTGAACCATTTTTTTCCAAGTCTAGCTAAAGGACTGAATTTTTGGCCTTCTCATTTCTATCAAAATTAGTCTGGAAAATGGTCAGAAAAACCTGGGATGTAGTTCAGTAAGGACAAGAGCAAAGAGCTATACTTAGGCTGGGATGATCAGCTGCTCAATTACAAAAAGCCCCCAAGCTTCGAACATGTAAAAAGCTATTGGAAAGCAGAAGATAAGTTTCTGTCCTCCATTATCTCTGATAGACAGAACTGATTCAAATTGTAGTCAGATTAGACAACAGAAAATTTTCTGACTACAAAGCAGAACTTGTAGCAAACAGAATGCAATGCAAACAGAGCTTGTTGTCTGGGAAACTTTCAGTGACAAGTTGCAGTTTCCTGTCAGGAACAATATAGGTTTGGGTAGTCTTGCATTTTGATGTGTGGTTGATCACAACAGTAGTTACCAGCAGAGAGGAGGAATGGTCTCTGGAAACCATCTAAGCCATCCTGGGAAGATCACTGACAAAAACAAGCATATGGTCAGGTGTCTATTTGCTCTCTAGGAATCTGTGCCCCTCCTGAAAACTGGTGAAGCCCCAAAGCTGAGAAAAGTCACTTGACTAGAGCAACCTTTCCAGCTGTATTTGTACAGAGGATGCTCAGTCTGATCTGATGTTCATTTGCTTTGAATTGTGTGGTTGATATAACACCATTGAAAAATAGCTTATTTTCTAACTCTTACTTGGGTTCTCTTGTCCAGTGTTTGCGATACATGAGGTTAGAAACAATGTTTTTATTAGGTTGTGCAAGTAAAAATCATTTAGATAGAGGATTATTGCACTACATTGTTCTGTGACCTCAAAATTAATATTAATTTTCTTAGCTGGAAAAGGAAAGAATCCAATGTATAAATACTAAAGGCTAATGCAGTAAGTTTGGTCATAAACTTCTTACATGGTTATCTGTTTTCCAGATACTATTTGATAACTAGTCCTTGTTACAGTATTTTTGGGACCAGCACTGATCTTAAGCTTTGTACTTTTTTTCTGATCCCATGGAATGCCTGAAATGATCTGTAACCATTAACAAATATCCATGAAAAATTAAGCACTTCTGTGGGGTTTTAATTCTATTTTTATCAGAATATTTCATTTAAACAATGTATGTGCTGTTTCTTTTACCTTTATTAAAAGCTACAGCCATTTAATTTGCTAGGTGGGAAACACTGAAAGTAAAGGAGCATGTACTTTTCATAAGCCTGACTGCTTCCACTGGGTGTCCCCCTGAGCTGCTACAATTTTTTTCCAAATGTTTACTTATGTTCTGACCTATGATTTTGATTTACTTGTTTAGTAGAAGTCCTTTTAGAATCCTGATTTTGTTCAGATAAGCTCTTCTTCAAATTATGAATGCCCTCTGCTAAAAGTGAACAATCAATAACTAAGAATGCTGGACACACCTGTGAGATAATCCTTTTCTAAAATGCGTATCTAAATAGACATTTCTGTTTCAGAGGGGGGAAAGCTGAAGCAAAGAGAGAAAAGGAAGTGTCATATAAACAGGAGGAGTATCAGTTTGAAGACTGCTGGTAAGCTGCTGTATGAGGTATGCCTAGCTACGTTGAGTACTTACTGGTAGCTGGGGTGGGGCTGCCAAGACGATGGACACCTCCAGACTGAACTGTTGAGACTCTGACACCACACAGTCAACCCGCACTAGCAGCATTTTCTCCTGTTGGTGCTGCAAAGAAATACGAAGCCTTTAGCTCTGCTACAGGTATTACAAGATGTTCTAACAACCAGTCTCTGTGTTAGTAAAGGAAAACTCACTGGATTTTGGTTTGGCTTTTTTTTTTTCACTAGTGCTGTGATAGAATTTCTTTCTTATCTCACACTCCAGTGCAATGTCTGCTTGGTGTGTCTATGGGGACTGTGTTGGCCCACCAGGCTAACTCACAGGATGCAGCTGACTTCTCTAGTTACCCATGCTAAGGGGCCTTAAAAGAAATTCTGGGCTTTTACTTGTCTGCCAAAAATGACCATTCAGTAAGGGCCATGGGAGACTGGAAGACAGCAAGGTCAAAAAGCAGACTGAATTTAGGAATTAAACTTTTGCTATTACTTGGGAAGCTTAGCATGTTACACTCATCTGAATTGCTTTATATTTCTCTCACTGATACAAAGAGAATACAACTCCCAGTGCCAAGTGAAACAGCTCCAAAGGACATGCTGATCGATACCAGGTGACAGCCTACTGGTTAGGCCACCCTCAGGGGATAACTGAGGTTGGCGGTCCTTGCTCAACACCACAGTGTGAGGATTTACAAATGCTTTCTACTGCTGTAGTGAGGGTCCCCACTGATACATCAGGCTGCCTTTATCAAGGAAATTTGTGTGTGTCTTCATACTCAGTGCTGTATCAGGGCCTGGTCAAGCTCCTCAGTACAGAAACACTGACCATCGAACGGCCATTAGAAACATTCACAGCTTATCGTAGTTTATGGCCAAAGACACACATTTTCCCATTGGGACAGGTGGATCCCGTCAGACCCCAGCATACCTTATCTCTTGAAGGCTCTTCCATGGTTTAAAAAGCCAAGGTTTTGGTGCTGGCACCAGTCCTGGAGCGAGGTATTGACATCCTGGGCTTGCTCCTAGCTTCTTGGAGGATCTGTTCCATGCTCTTCCCAGGCACAGAGGTGAGGGTGACAGGTATCTTCCACTAGCACAGGTTGCTCAAAGCCCCAGCCAGCCTGACCTTGAACACTTCCAGGGACGGGGCATCCACACCTCTGGGCAACCCGCTCCAGTGTCTCCCCACCCTCATGACCAGAGGCAGTTCCCTCAGCCTGCCCTTGTGTGCCCCCCACCCCATGCCAGGGGCCCTGGGCTGGACCCACACCCCACACCTCAGTGTCTTTCCTGGACTGGGAGACCAGGAGGGGACAGAGGATCCAGATGCAGTCACCAAAGTACCAAACAAGAGCAGAGGAAAGCATTTTTACTGGTATTTTCTTGGGTTTATCGGAGGGTTGTTTGGGTTTTTGAACATGCGGAGGGGATGTGGGATAGCAAAGAAGGGCTCACACCACCCGTGGCAATCAAGGCAGTAACTGTCGATGCTGGGAGATGGAACGGGTGAGCCCAGGGGACGGCCAGGTGTGGAGGCTGGGCTCCCAGCTAACGGCAGGGCTGGCGGCTGGGCCGGGCGTCCTGTGGCATCACGGAGGGAGCTGTGCAGGACGCGGATCCACTTCCATCGGTTCTTCTTCCACTTCTCCGTCTGAGGTTTACCCTCTCGCTGCTTTCTTTTATTTTTTAATTCCCTGGGACATTTTTAGTGTTTGTCTCTAACACAAAGTATGGTCCGATTCCTGCACTCATCTGGGAGTTTCACCAAGATGTTTCACCACAGCTATGGCAAAGACAAAGAACAACTCATACATTTCAGTCTTGCTTGTGTTCTTCTTGGGACACACCATAGATTAGACTACTGGCCTGCAGCATGGAATAAGCTGGGAAATGGGCTGTGGGTTGGGGTACCATATGAGTGTTGTGGATTGTAGTGACAACAGTTTCTTGGGTGTACAGCAGGTATGACACAGCTGAGAGAGTCATGTGTGTGACCAGTCTGCTCTGCTGATCAGTTAACATTCAGGTAAGAGAAAGAAGGCATACTTTCTCCACCAGCTTCCTGGTAATTGTATAAATATATATGGATTTGATTAACTTTCACAAATGGTAGCACACATGTTTTTGACAAAACCAGAAGAGACATTTGGTTAACTCTGGGATGACAATGGGGAAAAAAATAAAAACAAAAAACACAAAACCCAACTTTCTTCAGAATCAGAAGGGAAAGAATCACAAGTATCTGAAACAAATAATCTACTCCAAGATACCAGTCTCCAAAAAGCAAGGACAAAGTGCTGCTGGCAACATGATGGTAAGGCCACGACAAGACTACATGAAAGAGGGCACTGGCTTCCAGTTCAGGTCGATGATGTGACTGTTACCACAGGAATGAAATTGGTATAAGAAGATGAACACAGAGAAGTCTTCACTGGGAACGAAAAACACACATATGACAGTTTATGCCCTCTATCTTCACCATCTAGATAACATCCACTGTTGTTCCTATTACTCAAGTCCTTTCGTGTTGCGCTTTCTCAGTGTGCCTGTTTCGTCTGAATCACTGGCTTTTTGCTTTTTCAGTGCTGCATTTTCATTTTCTGACTCCACAGATGGGTCTTCTTGGGTTGACTCTTCTGCTTCACTGCAGCTCTCATAGTGGAATCCAGTGTTCTCCGCTATGACAGCAGGATCATCATCCTCGTAACAACAGCAGCACTCCTCAGTGCTTTGGCTGTGATGAAGGTCCCTCTCCTCATCACTGCTGCCAGTTACCTCATCCTTTTTCTGCATTAAATCATGACCACCCCTTCCCATGGTGAGATCAGGTAGCAGGGTTTCATTGCACAGATGCTCCTCATCTTCCATGCCCTCCATTCTTTCTGCCAGCTCTTCTGCAGAGGGCTGGCTCAGGTCAGGGTAATCTACAAGGATTGTGTCCTGTTTGCGCTTGAAGCAACCAGAATTATCATAGACAGGATAGGTCTCTTCTGGATAACCTTAGGAATAAAGTGACAGGCAGCTTGAAGTGTTGGCGGCATTTAAAAGTAGTACTGACTTCAGTGATGGATGCACAGGTTTGTTACAACAGTTGGTTTTAGCACTGCCAGTATAAGTGTCATCTATTTAATGCTGTGTATATGTCACAGTATTAAATCCACAGCAAGAATGTGCAAAACATGACTTCTTGGGAGATGATGAGAAAACTCCACTTATTTTTAGGGAGCCAGGATATCAACCCTGACTTTCAGGAGTAAATACCTGAGCTCTGCTGAAAGCTATGGCAGCTAACAGGTGAAAACTGCATGTCTTGGATCTTTAAATAGATCCTTTCTTTTTTTGCTTCTGTTTACAGATTGACTGCTTCATGTTTTGAAGACTTTTGCTATAAACAGCATTATTTATAAAGTTGAAAAACCAGATATGTCAATGACTGTGTGCATTTCGTTTTAGAAAATGCATCATGAACTTGATTTAAGAGAACAGAGCTCGAGGCCACTGTTTATGCTTTATGTTTGGATCATTTTTGAAAGCTTCTTAAAGAGCAAGAAATTAAGTCTGCATTTAAAATTATGATAGGAGCAGCTCAACTAGGATATCTTGAAAACACATTTATGTAACAAGTAAACAATGAGGAATGGAAAGGACATTAAAATAAAGAATTTTTAAAAGCCAGACTTCCTGGAGTTGACTTGTTACAACGTTGGAGCAAACAAAGAATGACTAATCAAAAGTAAAAACTGTAAGTTATCCAAAACATGATTCTGATTTCCAAGGGGTTTATGATTTTGCCTGAAATCTAGCCCAGCAAAGAAAGCGAAAGATATAAACCTACAGCAGCCAAGACACAGCAGCAGATGGAGCATATGTGAATATTCATATGCCACTTTTGGCAGCAGATAGTGTAGTGTTTATACTAAAGGAAATGCTGGATGCCTCAAAATCTATTTTCTTTCTATTATGGTTGGGAAAACAAACCACCTCTTGCAAAGTTCTGGACACTGATTTCTGAAAATGGACTATAAGTAATACTCAATTTTTTTCATCAGGGTAATGGTAAGAAAGGTTCTTGCTTACCTTCCCAATCCTCCATGTAAGGAGCTTCTTCAGCTTCCTTCTCAGGAGAGATTCCATCTATGAATTTTCCTTCTTTCATAACTCTAGTAATTTCTCGGAGTTGCTGAAGTAACCTTTTTTCCTGGTCTGTTGTAACATTTTGAGTCCTGCTAGAAAATATTAGACACCAGAACTGAGTCCACTATTTTTACAAACTATTAACAGATTTTGAACCCAACCATTTGGCTGGCCCAGCAGCAGAGTCTGAAGAAACCTGGCTGCAGTATGATAACTATTCAACAGCTGCAGTGGTCTGCACTTCAGCTCGGTATAAAGGTTTATCCATTTATCCAGAAAGCCTGCAAACTTAAACAGGTAAAGAAAGGCAGGTACAGCCAGTGTGAGCACAAATGACACACAAGCAAGAATTGTGGCACAAAAGACACTACAGAAATTTCTGGCCTTTAGAAGAGTGTTAGGTGAGAATTAAGAGGGCCATGCCTTGTTTGAAGCAGTTTAAGAAAATGTAATTCAGAACCTATGCTACAACTTGTGAGGCTGATCAAAATGTCTCACAGAGACATTAGTCTCAAGAGTCTAATGATCCCTAAATATGACCATTAAAGGTCATTTGCAAGGCCTCATTAAGAAACGTTGGTTGGACAGATTATGATGTCGTTACACAGAGTCGACAATGCTGCCTGGCAGGGAGCTGGGGGGAGAAGCAGGAAGGAAGATTTAAAAATGAAAAGGTGTTACCTTTAGCTTTAACTTGCTCTTTAGAATCAGAGGGAGAGTGGGAGAGGACTTATCTTTTTATCGGATTAAAAGTAAACTGTAATTCTGACTGGTTCTACACTGCTGATCTAGTAATTACTACTGCTCAGGATCACAATTACTTGCTGTTGTAACAAAAATACTTCCAACAGATAAAATCATGTAGTCATTACATGTTATTTTCTCTGGAAGAAAAGTAGTCTCCTAAAAATCTTCTGGTCAAAAAAAGAATTATCTGGATAGTGATGATCTGAGCTCTAATAACTCAGAATGAGAAAGACACTGGCTGTATTTAGGGGTGAAAATGGTTCTGACTGTTGTGCTTGTTTCATCTTGAGTCACAAGTTGTTCCTGAGCAGGTGTTTGATCCCTGTGTAAGTGCCAGTTCAAGCCTCTCAGGGACTGAGGCACTACTCTTTAAAAATCTCGCTGTGTTTTAGGCCTCTGGTTACTCAGAGAAGGCCCTTGGCACGCACAGAATGCTGAACTGCAGGCGGTATGTGAGGCCAGACAGGTGATCTCTGGTATCTCCAGACCATCAGATAGACAGATAATCTCCAAGATTAGACAGCTGCTCAGTGAATCTTATGGGTGAGATGGGAAGAGGGGAACTGGGAACAGACTAATGGGTTTGGATTTAGGTAATTAGTATCTACCTAAACCATGTTTGTGGTACCTGAATTCTCATAAACTTGAAAACTTGCAGTGTTCATCTTCAGATTTTCCTCTTACTAGCTACTGTGACTAAAGCAGACTTTAACAGCCACTTTGTGCTACTCTACATATATGGGACTGATGGTGACATGATAGTTACTCCACTAAAGGCAGCAGAGACATACTGGATTAAAGCCAAAGAGATTAGCATTATACTGCTGGTTTGTGTGATGGTGATCAACGTGCTGATCCCAGACTAAATTTTGTTGCACACACAGAGTTGCCTGTAACTGACCTTAGCTCAGGAGCAGGCCCACTGGTTTCATTAGCAGCTGCCCAGATTAACCTGTTTGACTGAGATAAGACTTAACATCACTTCTCTGTGCTGCCCCCAAGGGGCACTTTGCCCCACAGTTTGAAAAGCTGATATGGTTCCAATGCTACATGGAGGTTGCACTGAGTCTCCTCAAGCTACAGTGGCAGTTTGTTCCACAGAGTAAGCAAAGGTGTGAGACAGCATCTTCTCAAAAGCCTGGGTTATGCAGATGTAGAATCTGAGATGGGAACTAAGAGGCACACAAAAAGAAATGGTTTCGTCAGCTAGCTGCCTTTAACAGAAGCTGTAATAGAACTGCCAAACTAATCCTCCTTTTATAGACAAAAGTGTATGTAATTCAAATATATATTACCTGGATGGAGACACAGAGGCCTCTCTGTTTAGCGCAATGGGGTGATACGCTAGCTCAGGTAAAAGGATCAATCAATACAGCTGCATTGCTGTGGCATCTCATATAGGAAAATTCTTAATATGCTGGATACTCACATTAGAAATCACTACTGTCTTACTGCAACACAAGGTCTCTGTATTTCAGAATATTTCTCTTCCACATATCTTACTTAAAAGACAAATTTCCCTGTAGAGGGGGAGAAACGAAAGCCCATGCACTATTTCTACTTCATTTAAGGCCTCTAAGAAGACTTACTGTAGGATGCTGGCAATGTATAAGACACCTGGATGCCTGTGTACAGGAGATTTACCAGGATATAGTGCACTTATGAATACTAAGAGGACAACAGATGCAAAAGGTTTACACTGTAAGAAAAGATCATCATTTTTGCTCTGTAGCTCCAAGTTATTACGTTTTATAGTGGCAATGCTTATGTTTTGTAGGGTCCCAACGTGCTCACTAACAGGTAAAGTAAAGGTTTCTTATTCTTACACTGAGATCAGAACATTCCCTAAAAAGCTGTCATGAGTGCAGTAAAAATCCATAATCTAACATGATATCTCAGACACGTCAACTGGTATTTTTTTGCTTCATGATCTTAAAATAATCATTATTAAAATGCAGCTCTAGCCCAAAAATGGCACCCCACAAAGTACAGCTTCTCTCTCTCTCTTCCATATCACATTTGTTCAGTTTATGGTAAAAAGGTAAGCTTTTCCAACTGACAGCCTGCTAAGACTTTAAAAACAGTTAATTGAGCTGCATTATTTCTACCTCTTACCTAGTTACCAGAATTATTTTTTTTTTTTTACAAGAGAACATTGTACAATAGTCCCATTGAGAAAAACATTTACAAGTATTCTTCAGTTTAAAATGTTTCCAAATTTCCAAATTTTACAGACAGTGATGGAAAGAATATGGGTAAGACATCTGTAAAAATGGGTAGGGAAATCTTTTGTACCTGTTCTATCACTGTCCCAACACTGAAATGCTCTGCCAAAAGCCCAGGAAAAAGCAATATGCATGCTTTCAATGCAGAGAGCCCTATATAACCATCAACCGAGTCTTTATTTTTGAATCATCAAATTACCAGAAAGGCTCCTTATCTATCTCTGCTGACAGATACTGGACCATAAAGGTCTACATTTAGAAACTGGAGATACTAACGTCCCCTTAGTGATAGGATGTGATGATAAATCACAAAAATGTATAATTTAAATTTGTAACCTGTTGATAAAAAGAGCTGGGAAGAGTTTCTCAGAGCTGTGAATCATGATATCCTTAGGTACTATGTACTACTGATTTAAATGGGTGCATTAGGTAACAATTACCTTTGTCTGTCTCTGGGTTTAGTTGTGGTTTTGCTACTAAAGACCAGGCAAGGTAGTTCCTTCTTCCTATTGCTTTCTTTACTGTGCTTCTAGTCCTTGCTCATACATGATAGGCCTTATTACAGTATTTGTACTTGTACTTTTTGAAAGCATTTTTGCAAGGGGGGGTTCTGTACTTAAGGCTGTAGCAATTCAAACTGGTATTCTTGTTTGGAAGGAGGTCTCCTTGGTTGGTTTGGAGGTTGGTCTTCAAGCCTCATAAAAAAAAAAAGCAAATCTAAGTTTCTGCCTGCCTACTTGTGCAACACAGGGCTGGATAATACAGGCTAAGCCGTCTGAGAAAACTAGCTAAAAGTATTGAGAGGTTTTCCAGTCTCAATTCATTCAAATGCTTTTGGAAGAAAAAATGAGCAGGACAAGTCACAGCAAGAAAATAACGTGTAAACTTGCTACAGAGAAAGCAGAATAAAATCACACAGCACAGTATATATTATTCCTCTGAAACAGGATTTCTTTCTATGGTACAGCATTATCTGAGAATAAACTGTCCTTCCAAACTCACCCAGATTTCAAAAGCAATGCTTTTTTGAAGAAAATATACAAAATTAGAATGCCTTTGGATTTTAAGAACCTTCCCCAGAAGGAGAAAGCCCAGATGAATCTTGGAGCAGTTCGGCTGGGAGGAGAACACTCCTGAATATAGTGAGAGGACACCGAGGCACGAGCTCAGACGTCAGCACCGTTGCACTGCCTGTAATGGTGTGACAATGCAAAATCACCCTTCGGTTTGGTTACTGATTCTTGGCAGGCTGGGAGTCGCTTTGCCATATCTAGTATAATGGGCCATGGTCCCACCTGGGGGCTTTCTGCATTACTTTAAATTGGATACCAGTTTTTCTCTGACTTTTCTGTCATAAGGATTTCTGTTTAACTGCATATTAATAAATGGAGCTCAAGCAATTTTTTCTCTCTTCCTCTTTCCTTTTAATCTATCAACATCCAGACTGAATAAGCCTAGCACTGTACTCTGTCCTCTCATTACACTTTCAAACCATACATTTTATTTTACTATTACTGGACTCGATGAGTATCACAGTGTAGATTAAGAAAGCTTCAAAGTCTGGGTGTATTTGAAAAACAGCTATTTGCTCCATCTAGAGGTGCTTTCCCCCTGCTTTTTAAAAAGGCTACATACAAAATTCTGTATTAGATTCAGATTCTGATTTCCCCTGAGGCCTTTAGATCCATCTATATAAATAGTCTGGTTGAACAAAGAAGGGAAGTTCTACTAAACAAAGGCTCTAAGCCAATAACACACAGTGGAACAAATACTGAATCAGACCCTAAACCCATTTTCTCAGTAAAAAATATCCTATCCTGAGAGTCAGCACAGTATCTTATAAACTTATTTCTGGCAGCTTAAAGGTACTATTCTGCGAGCATTGCGGTAGCTGTCCGAAACAGAGATGAGTAACAGTCAAAATTGTATCCTTCTGTTTCACTAACAAAGCCAGGGCAGCTTAGGGGTTGTCCTGCTGGAACCTGGCCTAACACAGGCAAGCCTGGTACCTTGACGGGTGCAGCCACAACACAGGGCACGGTGCAAAGTGGGCAAAACTACATGCTCGAATACAATGGTTTGAAGCATAAATGAACATAACATGCAAGGTGAGCACAGACTTGTTCCTACGGACTGGGTTAAAACAAGCTTTGACTGATCCAAAAGTTAACATGCATTACAACCTGAACAGCTATCTTTTTTGCTTGCAAATGTCACCTTAATATTCATGGTATTTAAATTTTCAAACATCGCAGTTATACATTGTCCTATTGATGTGTTGTTACAACCCTTATGAAAAACATAGACTTGTTTCCAGTGTTTCTTTATAATGCAGAATAGTGATCTCAGATTTATAGCAAACATTAATAAACATAATAAATTTTTAAGTCCTGATTTTATAACTCTTTTTCTTTTATATTTAGAAGCAAATGCATGGATTTACGGGCTACAGGGTAGAACTAACTTATGGAACCAGATTATTATACAGTTCTGCCCTTAAAGAAATATTTTATGGATATTCTAAGAGTCATTTACATAGATTATAACAGCATATCTATTTAGAAAAAATAATCCATATAACTGGAACATAACATAAAACATATGTGTATTTTATGAATCATTCAGAATATTACTTTGATCATGTAAGACAGGTTGTTTTATATACTTTAAATGTAAACGTTTTATTTTCTGTTTACACATACATGTCATTATCTTCTAAATAACTGTACAAAGGGGGACGGGAGGGATAGTTGCTTTTCTGTTTAAGGAAAATGAAGTTGGAAAAATGTTTTATTTTAAATATAGACACTGAAAAGACAAAAACTGCAGAACAAAAAGAATGATGTGTAAAACCAAATTTCTACAATCTGAAGGAGTAATAAAAATGCTATTTTAATACAGAAAATGTCAGGAAGTTTAATTTCTAATCAGAGCAGAGTCTCTCCTTCAAATGCTGTAATTTGAAACATACCTGTCACAGTTAGGTCCTACTCTGTTGATTAATTTTTCCATGGCTTCTTCTGTCTCTCTCAGTTTTTCCTGTAGTTGAGTGAGCTCATAGTCAGCTGTAAAACAAATAAAATCCCAAGATCTGTCAGTAGGAGCTTTGAAAATGTATCTCTGTCCCATTATCACAGCAAGCACATGCTGTACCAAACCAAACTGGCTCTGAGGAAACTAAAGTGTGCACCTTAAAGAGTTCTACCTACTCTTCCTGGTACTAGAAGGTGAAGACTATTGCCAGTGGTAATAGGACACACAGAAAGCACTTTCTTTAAAAGGCTCCTGAGCAACCTCCCAATAATCAGAGTGAGCCAGTGAGCCACAGTAAATGCTCTGGAGATTAAAGTTAGGGAAAAGAAAATACCTTTTTTTTTTTTTTTTTTAAACCATAATGTTTCACTGTCTACTGCAGAATTAATACGTTTTCATGGAATTTTCCTGATAAATCCTTGGGAACAGAGACAAAAAGGTCACTTGAGCATTTTCTAACAAGTCTAAGGATTGAGAAACTGCATTTTTGGTAAAGAGAATAATGTTCATGTACTTGATAGCATCCAACCCTGCCCAGGTGTGCTGGGGTAGGCAGTGAGTACTAACAGTCTGGCAGGCTAACCACGTGGTGTCTGCCGCGGGAGCACAGCGCAGTATTTCCATGGTGGCACACTTCTCAAAAAATGTGTCCGTAGTATGATAGTAGACACACATGCATACATGCAAGAACACCCATACTGGCTTTATTTAGCCAAAAGTGTTAACAGTAAAGATGCAACAGCATGGATTCAACAAAAATGCTCAGGCTCCTTGTTTGGCTTTTATAGCTGATGCTCAAAATCCTACAGCTGAGACCTCATTGTTCCCCACTGCAGAATAAAATGAAACCATCCTGTGTTAGCTAAACATTCAGCTGTTACAGGCACACCCATTTAAGCAGCACAAAGGGACAATGGAACTCCGACACAGTAGGAATGGAAAAAGCCATCCACAAACATCCTGCTTTTGGAAAGATCTCTATTCTGCAGAGAATGTCATTACTTAATGTATCACTGATGTCATTATTTTGCGTGTTTAAGACTTTAAAAATAGGGGAGGCAAAGATCCTTGGAGGAAGTTACTCCTTCCAAGTCACTACATTAGTGGTTCCTAGTCCAGTGACTTGTCCCCTGCTCTGCTACAGCTTTCAATGAGTGCTTTAGGAAAACAAATGAAGAGCTCTAGAAAAAGGCAGAATAATTTTCATCACTAGTTCTTTGGGTTATAATGATGGTAAATATTTAACCTACTGCAAAGTTAGTTTCTCCTACCAAGCATTAGAGACAAAAATACAATTACTGTTGCTAATAAATTGCACAAAATTGCCAGGCACAATGCACTATAAGTGCACTGAAAATACAATCTATAGCACTGAGTACATTAGGTATTCCTAATATACGCATTAATGTCAAGATAATTACAGCTATGTTAAGAGAATTACCTTACTGCTAGCACTTTCTATAAAGCCCTAAGTACTTTTATTTCCTATTACAGTTTAGCCAGCTAAACACAGAACACTTAAATACTGTTATGGCAACTACCCATCCAATCATCAATAGTAAGCTTATTAATCTATCTAATAAATGTCTACAAATAGTTGAATCCATCCCCACAATGTTTAAGTAAAATCACAATAATATTTCAGAAGACTGTTTATGGTCTCGTCAAAATTTTGAGCATTACAAAAAGGGAAGAGAAAAAGTAGGGGAGTGGCAGTAATGGCTAAGAATTTACAAACTCAAAAAAGAAGGTAGCTTTTAATAATATCTTTATATACTATTATTAGAATATTACAGAATGTAGAATAATTATAGGTGGACATCCTATTATCTATATTTAATCATTAGCTACATAGCTTTTCAGCAAATCCATACGGTTAATTCTGTGAACCTCATGAAAAGCCATTGCTTCCAGGGGGGCCCTGGGATCAGGCTACTGTATTGGAGTCTCATTAGCTGAATGAGATTAGAAAGTGACAGTGCAGTAATTCACTTTAACTCTTGCTCATTCCAACACAGAAGCTTCTAGCCTGTTTTTTACAGAGGGAAACAGCAGCTTTACAGTGTGCCCAGAACTTCAAGAACCTGGTTGGACCATGCCTCTACAGAGTCAACAGCTACAAAGATATAACTCTGAAGTCATACTCACTGATTTTCCTTTTCATGTTTCCAGGTGCAGCAGCAGGGCATTTCCGCTCTCCAGTGGTAGTTTTTCCCTTGGAAGCCAGCTAAAGTGTGAAAAAAGATGACCCTTCTATGAGTTACCACAACAGCAATACATAAGCCCCAAGGGCAACAGAAAAAAAGATAAAAAACTAAAATATGCCAGAAAGTAACTGCAGAAAAGCATGCCTAGCAGCAAAAACAGACAACCATGAAAGATGCCTGGGAGATGCTGCCAGCTGAAAACTCCACTTCGAACAAATGATATTTTTAAGCACAGTGAAAGCATAACTCATCAAAAATAATGTATTCATTTTAGAATGTTTATCTGTTCCATTCTTCTGTGTACAGGAGGGAAAAAAAAAAAGGCATTGGGCAATTACTGTGAAATAAAGGACAGGTTTTGAAAGAACTATATGTGACCCCACTTGTTCCTCTTTCAATGCTTTCTGCCATTATTCCTTACCAACTTTGTACCTGCAGCAAAGATCCTGGCTGGTTCTATACAGAAGCTGCAGGTGATCTATTTCTTTTGTCGTCTCTGTGTTTGATCAGTTCACCCAATTCACTTTGTTCTTGCCTCTGTCTGTCCAGAGCAAGCTCAACTGTTTAGTCACTGCTCAGTCTGGATTCAGCCCTCATGCAAAGGAAAAACACATTTCCACAAGTCCACTTCTCCCTCCTCCCACATACATGATTGTCATCACCTACAAGTCAGGTCTGTGTAACAAAAAGCTGCGAGAAGTTCAAATCACCTGTAAAACACTTAAGGGGAATTTCGACTGTGCTTTTTTAAACTAGCTTTCTACCAGTTCCTCAGCTGGGGTAGTTCCAGCGTGGTCAGTACAACCATACAATCTCCCATTCTCCAACGACGTGGTGCTTGTGTTCCAGCAGGTATGCAACAACTGTACTCCCTCTCTCCACTTTAAATACATAACAGAATGCATGACATATACAGTATATATAATATGTAGTCACACATAATAGAATACCATGTGTATACTCAAAATTAATCTAACATTGTTCTAGACATACACATTTTCCAAGGGGAATAAAAAATCCTTAAAATAGTTGTAAGAGGTCAGAGGCCAATACAAGCCAATACCCGTTCCTGCATTCTTAGCTACAGTCTTTGAAATGGCAAAAACCACAGGATACAACAATCTTTCAACACCCAAACAAAAGTCCAGCATATTTTAGTTGTTTTTTCCCTGACTTTTCAATTTATGTTGGTCTTACCTTAAATAAAATGTACAGGATATATAAGAAGATGCCAAATCCATATATAGGGATAATCTGCCCCACAAGACCTCTCCCAGTTCCACCAGTGTTTCCACCACCACCTCCACCTGCCTTGGCTTTGGCAACTGCTTCAGCAAGGTGAGACCTTGCAAAATGAGGAGCAGCCCGTCCCTCGGGAGTGGCCTGGTAATGCATCCTTGGTGGAAAGCGACCAAGCTTCCCTGCAAAAAAACACACAATCATTATTTATCTTTTATTACTTTTCACCCTTTTAAATGCAGCCTAAAACTGCAGAAGGTGAGGCTGACCTATTTATCTACTTTTAAATGTACCACCACTGATGAATTAAGTATCTTGTTAGACTGTAAGTACTGTCTGTAAACCCAATCCTTAGTCACTTACTATATGCAGTGCTAGGATTTAGGTATTACTCTCTTAAGAAGAGAAAAAGCTGGCAGGGCAATAAACAAAACACAGATTTTAGAAGGTATATACTTGTCCAAAGACCCTATGAATCAGCATCCCTAACAGGATGAAAACCTGAACTCTTGTGGTTCTCTGCTCAACAAAACCCCAACAATGTGTGAGCCTGGTCTTTCAATAATACGCAAAGGCATGTTAATGTATAAACCACTACCCATACCTGATTTTACCAAATGAATAATGAAAGATAAAGAAAAGTGGTGGCAGCTCAAACTGTTACCCTTAAAAATGTGTTAGGTAAAGCAATGTAAGAGAGGAGACTGAGTATAGCTTGGGACATATCTTCAGCATTTTAGAGGGGAAAAAATGGTTTCTAGCCTTGACAGAGGCAGAGATAAATTAAAACAAGAAAGGGCAGTGAGCATAAATGGATACAGGGATGCTGGAGTAAGATGGCAGAGAGCCTAAAACAGTGCTGTGGACAATTTGATTCAACTGAAAGGCACTACAATCTCAATAAATCTAAGCTCATGCATTCTTGTATTTTCTTGTGCCATCAGTTCAACAATTTTGCCATGAAATTCACTATTTCACTCCTCCGTGTACTTGACATCCTGCTTTCCATCTCCATATCCAGCTTGGACTTGCACCTGCACTCCCATCCGCTGACTGAGTCTGAACTGAATTACCCAGCTAGTCCCCCACTGAGCCTGGCGGCGGGCGGCGATGGATGGAAGCACCAGCGATGGGGACTGCCAGGCCGGGCTGCAGGTCACCCCGGCACCAGCTGCAAACCTCCCCCTCCCTGGCACAGGCAGCAGGAAAGCCAGGCAGCCTGACACTGCTCATGGGCACCGGGGCAGGCTTCAGGCACTTGCATAAAGAAAATGAAAACCGGGTTTGAAATAGCACTGAAAAGAACTCACTTTACTTCTGTGAGTACCCAGCTGCAAATATTTTTATGAGAAGCAAGATAAGAGAAAATTAAATTAACATTTGCTCTTGATAGGAAACACCATCACAGGCAGCTAAATATCCTAAGCACAAAAAATTACATTAAACTTGTTATTAGGAAGTGACACCAATAATTTGTGAAGTTCTACTATTAAAAACACATTGAGCACTGTAGGCTTTAGTGAAACTTCCCAGATATACCACCACTGACCAAAACCACTCTCAAATTAGTTCAGGCTTAACTTTGAGGAAGCTGAATCATGCACTTTAATTTCAGTGAATTATTCAACGTCTGTGATGGAAAGCATATCATCTTATTTACAAGAAAGTCCCACTGCTCCAGCAAGAATGCCTTGTAGCAGCAGGTCACTGTGGAAACAAGTGTAATGTTGTGTAGAGAACAGCATCACTGAGCTGGGGATGAAACAGCAGGGTAGGTAAACTTTTGTAAAACATCTTACACTCATGCACGTATTCTTTATTAAAAAAAAAAAAAAAAAAGAGTTGAAGAAAGCAGAAAATAATTGACAGAGGTGAAACTGTATTGAAAGCGAATAGTTTTCTAAATTATCCACAAGGCCTCGTTTGTGCTTTAACAGATTCAATTGAGTTAAAAGATAATAAGGCCAAAGGGACGCACACTATCAAAATAATTTTAAAGGGGAATTTCATGACTCCTAGTTCTAAATCTTCCCTGTTGATTTTTAAACTTTTATAATTATTTCCTTGTTTCAAAAAAAAAAAAAACATTTTCCCTAGCTTTTTAGTGTGAAGATCCCATGCAAATTATAGAAGAAATGGATGGCATGTGCAATTTAAAAGCAACACATGCACAAAGCTGTCAAATACACAGTATACAAATGAAAATGTGTAGTGATTTGGATGCCAGTCAATTGAACAAGATACCTTGTGCTATTAAAAACCCCAGCACCCTAGGTGATGTGACTGGATTCCACATTTTCAGGGATGAAACAAACCACTTTTAAATGGAGACGACAGCATGCACTCCATCAATAAAATCAACTGACACTTCTACATGAGCGCAGAAGGGCATGTGCTGGGTCCTTGCTGGCTGCACCATCCAGTTGCCAGTGCTGGTGGTACTTCAACGGGACACTTTACATGCTGTGGGGAGGGAAGAGCACTAACCTCCATTTAGCTTTGAAGGGTGGCTCAGTGCTGCTGGTTTTGAAGTGTTCCTCAACTCCCATGTTAACAGCAGGAGGGCTGCCTCCAGGCAGACCTGATTGCCACATGTGGTAACTCCACTAATACACCCTACCTGGCTTTGCAATCTTTTTACCTAAGGTTTACAAAACACATTTAATAATTTGTCAGTTTAAGGCTTCAAATCTACTTCACAAACGAGTTACAGGCCAAGCAGAGCATGTTTTGTCTAATCCTGTCCCTTCAACAGCTTTAAGTACAAAAAATTAAATTATGCTCAGCTAACATTTGTGCAATTCAAGAGACTGTAGGTTTCTGAATGTAGATTAAGTCCTTACTAGCAGTACCCTGTTAGAATTACTGTGGATTTTTAATCTTTTAACAATATTAACACTAAACTGAAAAAAGCAAAGCTTAAAAAGTACATTTATAACACATCTAATACAACAGCCAACCAGGTGACAACATTCAGACCACCCAAGCACCTTTTTTCTAAGGAAGTTGTGTTCTACATAATGGGGTTTAAGAACTGCTTCTGAGCCCAACCTGACTATTTATAAAGTTATTTAATTTACTGTATGATTCAGCAACTCCTAGTTGCAACTTCTGACCAGCTTTAAAATGCAGGGATACCTACGTACATGTATAATACAAAAATAAAGTTTGACATACAGTACATATAGGCTGTTGTTACTCCATTCATCACGAGATTTACGATAGATATATTACTTCATTTCTAAAACGTACATGTTCTTCAGACCCCAGGAAGCACAGGAGGAGGGCCAGAGATGGGAAATGGCAGCCTGTGAAGCGCACATGACTTGTCCAAGCTGACAGCAAAGCAAAGGATGCTGTTCTCATTGCTCCTCACATCTCAAGCAAGCTTCTCCTCAGGGGGACAGCACCCACAGTTCTGCTCCTGCTCTGCAGTAGAAGCTCTGCCTTTTTAGTTTCCATCCCAAAACCAGGGTTATACTACTTTGGTTTGGAAATGCTAAGATTAAGTGAGTTTTTTCCAAATAAGACATTTACTATTCCTTACTGTGCATGCAAAACCAACCAACCAAAAAAACCCACAGCCCTGGAACAAACCAGCCAGACATTTTGCAAAAGCTTTAACTGAAAAAACATGTGACAGTGGGATACAGAACTATCCTCCTGCCTCACCAATGCAAAGTCCAGCCCTCAAACCTATCCTAAAACTGTACTGTGACTCCCACATTTAAGGATGCTTCGGTGCCATTTACATTTTCCTGGTAAAATGTTCGTCATAGTGACTGGAAAAGAAACCCACCACTTTTTTTCAGACGGTCACAGGGATCAGAAATAAAATACAGAATCACAGAATCATCTAGGTTGGAAAGGACCCTGGAGATCATCTAGTCCAACCGTTCGCCTAGCACAGTTCCCACCTACAGCAGATCCTTAAGCTCCAAATCGACCCTACTCTGGAACACCTCCAAGGATGAGGACTCCACCACCTCCCTGGGCAGCCCATTCCAACGCCTAACAACCCCTTCTGGAAAGAAATGCTTCCTAATATCTAGTCTGAACTTTCCCTGGTGAAATACGCTTCTGGGAGAACCAGAACTCAAGTTTTGTACATTTTTCTTCCCTGCTCTGTTGGACTTGATGTGTCCTCTAAGCAAAGCTTTTGCCAGGTAGGATATGCAAGACCTCCCTCTCTGGTAGATGCCGATAAGGAGGCATTCATACTGAAGCCTTCGTCTCAGGACACTTGAATCAATCTTTAGCCCCTCTCAGCAGTGTATCTTCATAAAACATTTATTTTCTCTCTCTGTCCAGTGAGATGAATTGGACAAAGGGCTCTAAAGCTGCAAGTGGCAACACACAGAAAGACACATGGATTCCATGATAAAGTAACTTGATCTTCTCTAGACTGAAAATGGGCTCCTAGGTTTTCTTGCATAGCCTCCATGTTTAGTGTAACAGTATATACAGAAACTGTTTTCTTGACGTTTAATCTAAATTCTCTTTCAGGCCACTATACCTCTGCTATTCTTTAACACCCTCAAACTTCCCCAGCACCTCTGCCCACAGAAAGCCAAAGCAATTAATCCTTTTTATAACACTGCAAGTCCCCATTCTGTTCATTGTTGAGGTTACTCTCTATTTCGGTATTAGACACTATCACAAGACCTGTGTTTTAAATTTTTTCACATGTGCAGTCAATTGTATTTTTCTCTTCTAAATCTTTTTTATAAATACTTGTGGCAGTGTAACATCAAGATGAACTGGACAAACTATGCATTCATTTAGTTCTTGCTCTTTTACTGACATTTACAAAATAGCTCTAGATCCGTTCCCAACACCACAACTTTAGAAATCTACCCAAAATAAGTTAGGAGGAGTGACAGTTTTGAAATCCTTGCTTTAAATCACCACACAGGTGTTTTTAATGAACAAAGTCAAATGCTTGAACATTTTTAATTAAATATTGCAGGTGGAGGGTAAAAAGGAAAGTGCAAAAAACCTACCTAAAATGGAAACATCTTAATTTTCTTAAGAACACCTGCAAGCAGAAATGCAAGCTGGACAGAGGTGTTACCTGAACAATGTGTATTTTTCTTGAAACCTGATGCCCCTTGATTATCTTCAAGAATACAGACAGACTATGCACCTGTTGCCATGGAGCTGTAAGGTTTTTCTTA